AAAAACACGGGGGTTCAGGGGGTGTCCCGTTTGATTCTGCAAATTCCAAGGTCATTCACATTTCTATAACAACCCTTCCCCCTTCGATTTGACGTACCTGTTGACAGCGTCAATAGTCACTTTAAGATTTCCTATCAGATTTCTGTAATTTCTCAACCGTCAACTGTCACTATTATAGTGGCAATTCAAATTTTGGCAATTCGCGGCTTTTGAATTTAAATCAAGAGCCGGGCATAATTCAAATTTGACAATTCACCACCACCAATCAGATCAATGCAATTTAGCGTCAACTGTCACTATTGATATAAAAAATGGCGTCTGAATTCAATTTTGAATATCACTTACCTATGGGCGCATCCTAAAATTCACCAGATATACCGTTGTATGTCAGAATATTTGTGTCATTTTCTACTGTCTATCTTTAACTCAATATTAGAGAGGACAAATACAATCCTCCACCAATTTGACTTTTCATTTATAAATGTCAAAAAAATTGGCGCTTCCCAACATTCACCAAATCAAACCGTTATACCAAAAAAACAAACATTTTACGAAGTAGGTCAATGAACAAATCCAAAATACGAAAATATTTCGGTAAACCTTTTATCAAGTAGGCCATGTTTTTCTGCAACCAACTGTCAAAAAATGGGCGCTTCCTAAAATTCACTAGATATACCGTTGTAAGTAGGAATATTTGTGTCATTTTCTACTGTCTATGTTTAACTCAATATTAGAAGAGGACAAATATAATCCTCTACCAAGTTAACCTTTCATGTGACGTCACCGGCCAGTGCAGTTCCAATGACAAACAGTTATTGTCAATAGAAACTAATACTTTATTAATAATTTGACAGAAATGACAGTTGAATATTAGAGCCAGGAATTGATGAAAATTATTCAAAAGAAATCTGTTTTTAATCCCAAATTCGTATTTCTTTACCCTAAAATGACAAAATATTCTGGCAAACTTTTTATCAAGTGGGCCATGTATCTGTCAACTGTCAAAAAATAAGCACTTCCTAATATTCACAAAAAATATACCTTTGTAAGTCAAAATATTTGTGAAATTTTCTACTGTCTATTTATAACTCAATATTAGAAAAGGAGAAATACGATCCTCTACCAAGTTGGCCTTTTATTTACAAATGTCAAAAAAATGGGCGCTTCCTAACATCCACCAAATCAAACCGGTATACGTAAAAAATAAACATTTTTCAAGTAGGCCAATGAACCAATGACAAGCAATTGTCCATTTTCAATTTGACAGAAATGACAGTTCAAGAGTCGAAAATAAATAAAAAAATAATAAAAGAAAACTCTTTTACTCTTAAATTCCTATTTTTGTAACCCAAAATACCAAAAATAAACCTTCTATTAAGTAGGCCATGTTTTTCTGCAACCAACTGTCAAAAAATGGGCGCTTCCTAAAATTCACTAGATATACCGTTATAAGTCAGAATATTTGTGTCATTTTCTACTGTCTATCTTAAACTCAATATTAGAAGAGGACAAATACAACGCTCTAACAAGTTGACCTTCCATTTACAAATGTCAAAAAAATTGACTTTTACTAACATTCACCAAATCAAACAATTATACGAAAAAAAAGACATTTTACCAAGTAGGCCAATAAACTCATGACAAGCAGTTGTTCATTTTCAATTTGACAAAAATGACAGTTCAAGAGCCGGGAATAAATAATAAATTATTTAAAAAAAAAAACCTTTTTACCCTCAAATTCATATTTCTATAACTCAAAATAACAAAATATTCCGATAAACCTTGCATCAAGTAGGCCATGTATCTCTGCAATCTATTGTCAAAAAATAGGCACTTTCACTAGATATACCGCGTTGTACTTTTGGCGTACTTTTTCTGGTCATTCATCGCCAAAATTAATAAAAAATCGCAGTAATAATTCTATCAAACCACCTCTATCGGACCACCCTGTACGTACCTTGCACCTGTGCTACAAATTTAACCCAATTATCGGCAACGCTGCTTATATCAAAAAGTCGATTTGTCTCTTTTTAATGTCGTTGATTGAAAAAAGATGGCCAAATATTTTACTTGATTCTAGGAAATGCTTTACTTTTGACAGTTACCTGAAAGGAATGCAAGACCTACTTCATATAAGAGAATTTTCCAGAAAGTTCCTATGAGTAATTAAAAAAAAGACAAAGACAAACATAAAATGACATTAATATTATAATTTTTGTCATTTTTACAGTGGTATAGTTTATAATTCATTGCCGCCATATTTGTTTGGTTCTATGCCTTTATACCATCAAATTGACATGTGACAGCTGTTAAGGTCTATTCACACACATCCGCCTTTTAGTTTAATAATCAAAAATGTATAAAATACAAATTCAATTATTCAATCCATTGTATTTAATGTTCGGTTTTAATTACGTATAATTGATGTTTGTGACTAACAACATTAAAAAATTTGTAATTACAAAATGTGGCAAAAAGTCGTAAAACGTTAATGTGAATGTATTAATGGAGATTAAAAACGTTTTCTATTTTCTTAAACACGTTGCCAATAATTCATTACCCATAATGCAATTTTATGTTTGTAACAATTGCGACAATAATACGCCTTCATCTGATGATTAATTGACATTTAATTTGAAAGTAGTTTTTATATTTTAAGTCATGTGACGTCATAGATAGTTTTATTAAAACAAAAATCCAAAAATCACTGAAGAATATGAGCTTTCACTTTCGATACAATTGTTGTTCAGGCACGCACGATAAAAATTGCAGTTTCTTACACAAGAGTAGAAAAACGAAAAAATCCGCTCGTTCCGCCCCAATATTTCAAAATCGTATCGATGAGTCGTAATGATAAATATACGCGGCCTAATGAAATTGAAATTCATTAGAGCGATAAAAAATGTACATTCCTTCATAAAAACGGAAATTATCTAATAATGTTTCAACAACCTATAAAGTAAACCTTATATTCAAGGACACCTATACTCTGTCACTGTCAACTGTCTAAAAATTTAATTTACATGTTGGCAATATTAGAAGTTCAAATAAGACTGTGAATATTTGTATGTACCCACTAAAACATTAAGATTAAAACTTAGGATAATGACTTATTATTACCGTGCAAAAAGATTTCAGATTACAAGACTTTGAACATTAACCTTGACGGTACCATCATTATCATTGACCCTGTTGGGTACCACTTTATATAGGATTATCTGCTTAGAGAATCTTGAAAATATGTAATGTCCATTTCCTCGTTTTATTGTGTATTTTCAAGCTGCTTGACTATAATAATTGTGTATTAAAAAGGTCGGTAGGTAATAGTCAAAATTTAGGCGCCATTTTTATACCAATAGTGACAGTTGACGCTAAATTGCATTGATCTGATTGGTGGTGAATTTTCAAATTTGAATTATTCCCGGCTCTTGATTTAAGTTCAAAAGCCGGGAATTGTCAAAATATGAAATATGAATCCTCTACCAAGTTGACCTTTCATTTACAAATGTCAAAAAAATAGGGCGCTTCCTAACATTCACCAAATTAAACCGTTATGCCAAGGCCAAGGAACCAATGACAAGCAGTTGTCCATTTTTAATTTGACAGTTCAAGAATCGGGAATAAATAAAAAATTATTCAAAAAAAAAACAAACTTTTTTACCCTCAAATTCCTATTTCTGTAACCCAAAATACCAAAATATTCCGGTAAACCTTTTATCAAGTAGGCCATGTATTTCTGCAACCAACTGCCAAAAAATGGGCGCTTCCTAAAATTCACTAGATATACCGTTGTAAGTCAGAATATTTGTGTCATTTTCTACTGTCTATCTTTAACTCAATATTGAAAGAGGACAAATACAGTCCTCTACCAATTTGACCTTTCATTCATAAATGTCAAAAAAATAGGGCGCTTCCTAACATTCACCAAATCAAACCGTTTTACGAAGAAAATAAACATTTTACCAAGTAGGCTAGTAGACCTATATAAATTTGCACTATAATTATGGAAAACAGGCTTTAAATTACCATTTTATTCTTTTTTCAAATTCTCTTGTCGCAAATTACGTAGCTGCATTTATTATATTGAACAATTTTTTTGTTATAAACAAACAAAAAAAGCCGGTTAAACTTTGAAATTAAAAAAAAAGACATTTGAAAGTCAAATTTTTGTCTAGTTCTTATATAAAACAATATGTGTTTGTGTATATAAAATTTGCATAGAAATTTACTAATTGTATATTTTAATATAACTCGATTTTGATTGCACTCAGTGACATTTGAAGTGTCAACTGTCAAAAAAACAATTACATCCAACTAAGAAATTGCTATAGACAAAAATAACATTATACGAGTATTGTACCATTCACTTAATAATATTATATGGGCGGATAAAACACGCCATTAGTTTTGACCCAGATGTTCGTTATTACGAAACAAAATAATGTCCAACGTTTTATTGGGGAATGTAAAAAAATACAAATTCTCCCTGTTTGTTAACTATAAGGCACATTTTATCAATGAGCTGTTAAGATTAACCATCAGTCAGACGATTTTGATTTGATGGCAGTTGGGTCACACACTTTTGAATCCAAAGACCTGTCAAAACATAAATTCAATATGGCGGCAACGGTAAAACATCTGTGTTTAGACACTATGAAAATCTGCATAAGCAATAGAAAATCCTCTTAAAACTCTACAAAGAACACTTTTATGATAACAAAACGTCACGGTTGTCGAAAGGTGAATGAAATCTTTCATTGTTTGACCATGGCCGCCATATGGAATTACGTCACAAATCACATAACGAAGGACAAACATTATTGCACTGATATGTGTGTAAATAGTCCCTTTGTTTATCCTCCCATCAATGTGTGTGACGTCAGCACTGTTTATCTGTCAACTATCAACACAATCAAATCGAAATCGCCACTTTATAACATTGAAGTTATGTTAATGTATGGGTTTAATAAATAAAACAAATTATTATTAAAATTTCTTACCTTTAGGTGTTAATTGATCTCGTGGCTTTCTCGTTATTTGAACTAGAAACCAGATTTATCCATTACCGATACTATTTTGATGATGTCTTGGCTGAAACTTAAGAGAAATTTTTTACTGTTGGTTCATATTTTGATAGTTTGCTTCACGAATTAACATCTGGTTAATTTCTAAAAGGACTACACAATTTAAAGATGGCGTCAAAATTTGAATTTTCAGTGCTGCCAACATAAAATGTTTCAAAAGAGCTGTCAATGGAAGTAAAATTCGAACCAACTAAGAAGAATACACACGCGTTACCGTTTGTCTCACTTCAAATAGGAGAGCCCTAAAGAAATGATAATTTTCCTTCTTCGTCAGTGATGACGTCAATGGTAATAAGCCTCCAAATGTTTCAAATTATGATTATTCCCGGCTCTTGAACTCAAATCAAGAGCCAGGAAAAATGAAAATTTGAAAATGTTTAAAAGATGGAACCAATTCAGACGCCATTTGAAATTTTATTTCCATTGACAGTTATCTGTTTTGGAGCATTTTATGTTGGCATATTCGACTTGAACGGCCATATTGAATCACGTAATGTGGATTGCCTAATTTTGAATTTGAATTTCAAATAAATATGGCGTCAAAACTTGAATTTTCAGTGCTGCCAACATGAAATGATTTAAAATAGATAACTGTCAATGCAAGTGATACTCAAAAAGTTTCAAATTATGATTATTCCCGGCTCTTGAACTCATATCAAGACTAATCAAGAGCCAGGAAAGATTATAATTCGAAAATTTGCAACAGATCGAATACATACAGTCGCCATTTTGAATTTTATTTCCATTGACAGTTATCTGTTTTGGAGCATTTCATGTTGGCAGCACTAAAATTTTAAATTTTGACACCATCTTTATTTGAAATTCAAAATCAAAATCAGACAATCCACACCACGTGATTCAATATGGCCGTTCAGGTCAAATATTGTGGCGAGATTCTTAAGAAAAGCATTTGTGTTCTGGCTCTTGATGTTCTAGATGCCAAACATGACAATGTCAATGTCAAACTTGAACGTCCGGACGTTTAGATTTGACATTGTCATGTTCGGCATCTAGAACAACAAGGGCCAGGGGCCTTATTCTGTAAGAAACGAACCGTTCGATTCGGTAAAATTTCTTCGATTGTGACGTCATTTTCGGTTTGGTAGCGCGAAAACCAAACCAAAAATGACGTCACAATCGAAGAAATTCTACCGAATCGAACGGTTCGTGTTTACAGAATAAGGCCCCTGAAGCCAGAACACAAATGCTTTCCTTATGAACGTCACCACAATATTCGACCTAAGCGGCCATATTAAATCACGTGGCGTGGATTGCCTAATTTTGATTTTGAATTTCAAATAAATATGGTGTCAAAATTTGAATTTTCAGTGCTGCCAACATGAAATGATTTAAAATAGATAACTGTCAACGGAAGTAAGACTCAAAAAGTTTCAAATTATGATTATTTTCGGCTCTTGAACTCATATCAAGACTAATCAAGAGCCAGGAAAGATTATAATTCGAAAATTTGCAACAGATCGAATACATACAGTCGCCATTTTGAATTTTATTCTCATTGACAGTTATCTGTTTTGGAGCATTTCATGTTGGCAGCACTGAAATTTTAAATTTTGACGCCATCTTTATTTGAAATTCAAAATCAAAATCAGACAATCCACACCACGTGATTTAATATGGCCGTTCAGGTCAAATATTGTAGCGAGATTCTTAAGAAAAGTATTTGTGTTCTGGCTCTTGATGCTCTAGATGCCAAACATGACAATGTTGATGTCAAACTTGAACGTCCGGACGTTTAGATTTGACATTGACATTGTCATGTTTGGCATCTAGAACAACAAGGGCCAGAAGCCAGAACACAAATGCTTTCCTTATGAACGTCACCACAATATTCGACCTGAGCGGCCATATTAAATCACGTGGTGTGGATTGCCTAATTTTGATTTTGAATTTCAAATAAATATGGCGTCAAAATTTGAATTTTCAGTGCTGCCAACATGAAATGATTTAAAATAGATAACTGTCAACGGAAGTAAGCGTCAAAAAGTTTCAAATTATGATGATTCCCGGCTTTTGAACTCATATCAAGACTAATCAGGAGCTAGGAAAAATTGAAATTCGAAAATTTGCAACGGATCGAACCCATTCAATCACCATTTTGAATTTTATTTCTATTGACAGTTTTGGAGCATTTTATGTTGGCAGCACTGAAAATTCAAATTTTGACGCCATCTTTATTTGAATTTCAAATTCAAAATTAGGCAATCCACATCACGTGATTCAATATGGCCGTTTAGGTCAAATATTGTGGTGATGTTCATATTAAGGAGAGCATTTGTGTTCTGGCCCTTCATGTTCTAGATGCCTAACATGACTATGTCAATGTCAAACCTAAACGTCTAGTGGTCCAAAGGGGCCCGATTCTCATTTCAGGGCTTCCCGAGGAAACAAGTTTTTCGTCTTCATCATTCTCGTTTACTTTCCGATTACGTTGACAAGGACAAAACATCTGTTCTATTCACTCTTTTAGACGAGAATCGGGCCCAGAGGAATTTCGTATTGATTTTTATCAGTACAATCAAATGTAAACAATACAGTGCTGGACCTGAACGGCCATATTGAATTTCATTTAACAGGTCAATGAATTGCCTAATTTTAGAGAATACGAATAAATCCTACTGTAACATTTTTTAGATAAAGATGGCGTCAAAATCTGAATTTTTAGTGCTGCCAACATAAAATGCTAACTGTCAATGAAAATAGGCTCCACATTTCCACATTTCGTGAAAAGATTAACGGATTTGACACAAAATAGCAAAATGGTGAAAAGACCCAAGGTTGTTTGAAAAAGGTAGGCTGGCTGATAACTTTTATGACGTCATCTGGATGCCTTAACATAATGCAAATTTCCATTAGATCCTTATGATGACGTCATCTGTTTACCATTACCAGACAACCTATCAGGAATCTTGGAAAAGACCGAAAAAATCTACCACTGCATGGCCTACTAGATTGTTGTCAAACACCACATAGGGGGGAAAAAAAGAAGAATCCAAAAATTACCACTGTGAATTATTGTAGCTAGGGCCATCATACAATGGAAAAAAAAAGAATTCAAACTTATTTCCATGGCCTACTAGGAATGTTTGAATTGAATATCAATAGTCAGTCATCCATTTTCAATGCGCAATGTTGTCAGATTTGTTATTTGTATCAAATCGTATAAAAAGTGTTGCCAACTAAATTGTTTGAAAATGTCAATAACGATTGTAATTCAATGTTGCCAGTTTTCAATTTTCAACATTGGCAACATACCAAGTGAATTCTTTCAAACAAATCTGGATTGCCACTTTTATTATCCTATTATCATTTCAACATAATGCAAATTTCAATTAGGCACCCTAGATGACGTCATTTGTTTCCCAAACTTATTACCGGCAGCAGAAAAAAAAAGAGATAATTTTACATACATCTTAGTAGGCCATGTAAAATAAAATAAATTTCTTTCAGTTGGTAAATCTGAAAGTTTCCAGTTGGCAACACTGTATCTCAAATGACGTACCTATCTTATGACTGTTTGTACGATAAACCATAAACATTTTTACACGGGATAATGTCACTTTAACCAAGGTTAGGTTGCCTGGTAACTTTTATGACGTCATCTGGGGTGCCTAAATTGCGCTTCTATTCAAGTTTTGACAATAGGGAATTCTCATAAGAATTAAATATGGTTCATTTTGTTTCTACGGTGCACATTTTTCTGTAAAATATTGAATATGAGCAGTTTTGCATTTAATTTATCGATATTATTCTCATACGGCAATTATTAGTTTCAAATTGAAAAGTTTCGCGCGGAAAAGCTACGTTCAACATGTCCGCTTTTGGTGACGTCAACTGTTCAAAAACCAAGGTTAAGGGTAGTTTACACTGACCGTGAGTAACGAACGTGGTCTACGCTTTCATGGTACTCTTGGGTCCTGAAGAACGATTGGTCCACGATCAGCTCACGTCATGTCACGACTAATATTGAATCACCATAGGTCCATAGAGGGATTGTCAGACTGCGCTTCTGTAAATCCTGTATCAATCATGACAAACTTGAAACACAAAATGTCACAATACGCCTATACAGAAATACCACGTAAAAACCACATTCCATGCAAAGATTTAATGCAGTCGATGGTACGAGCGATTTTTTCTGACAGTTTGCAAAGTGTCAGGGACTCTTGTGAGGACAGACCTTAGGTCTGTTCCCACAGGAGTCTCTGACAGTTTGCAAACTGTCAGTAAGCATCACCCATACATGTTTTCAATGCTGTCGACTCGAGATAAATCTGTAACTCAGCTGAGCGATTGTTTCTGATAGGTTGCAAACTGTCAGAGACTCCTGTGGGAACAGACCTTTAAACGTAGTATTTACAAACAGTTGACGTCACAAGTACCGACATCTTGAAGGTAATCGTTTTCGGGCCAACGGAAATAATTTGAAATTTTATAAATTCTTTTTATTTTAATGAGGACATAATAGAAAAGACAACATATGTATTTTATATTTGAAAACATAAGCAATAAGAAAAAAAATACTTTGAAGAGCCGGGAATAATCCAAATTTGCTAATTCACCAAGGTTTCTGAAGTTAATAATTTGCCTATTTATGGGTGACTTGATAACGTCATCAAGGGTGCTTTATAAAGATTTGCATTATGTTGAGTTGAGATATGATAGATGACGTCATAAAAGTTATCAGGCAACCTACCTCTCTCAAACAACCTTGCTTATTCACTACCAATAAGATCAGTGCAATTTTTACTGTTACCACTGACAACAACTGTCATTGTTACTATAAACCTAGCGTTTAAATTCAAGTTTTGACGTTAAATCAAAAGCCAGGAATAATTTAAATTGGATAATTTACAACCAGTCAAAATGGTGCAGTTTCAACTGTGATAGCTTTTATGACGTCATCAGTATGACTATTCTTGAAACGGAGTAGTGAGAAGGAGTAAGTACTTGCCAGGTAATGACACAGAGTGAGTTCTCTCCCATAAAAACAGT